TTGGCAGCAGAATGGAAAGACATCAAAATGGTCTGGGGAAAGGAGGGAAGTGAGAATAGGGCTAGAACAGTGAGGTCAAAGTGACTGGGAAAGTCATAGGCATAAATCTTCTTGATTGCTGCCTCTGCTGGGGCACAGCTCATTGCTGAAGAAAAGTCATGCTTAAGTGAGACTGACAGGAAACAGGAAATAAATAGATGGTCAATAGTGCAGAGACTATGAAGGAGGAGACTTTAAAAAATGAGTTGAGATAATTGAGAGCTGGGAAAATGCAAAGAGAAGCAAAGAAGAGAAAAATTATGAGCAGCAACAACGAAAGGAAAACGTAGAATAGGGAAGAATGCAAAGTGTTTCCCCTGTTGAGAGACTTCAGAAGTACACAAGAAAGGCAGAACCTATCACACAGCTTTATGTAAGGGATGACTTGTTTCCTTTATGCATTCAGTCATTTCTGCTTGCCATGTAAATCAACAGTACTGCTGCTAATAGTCATGATTTTATAGCATATAATGTTTTTTCTGTTCAAGTTACTGGGATCATGCAACTTTGAAAAATTAAAAGCCTTTTTTTCTTTTTTAAACTGTGGGTTTTGTGATTTATTTTTTTAGGATAAGCTCTGAAAATTGAAGTCTAAGATGTAAAAAAAGGAAAAGCAAATCAACATATACAAAAGAAATTGTTACTAAAAAGACATTTTTCAAGAGTAAGCCTTGGTTATGGAACTGAATTGAGGCCTTTTTAACCACTTCAAGTCGTTAGCATTAAGTGCACCTGAAGGCACAGCATGATCTGAGAGTGCTGTGGGGCATTTTTCCCTTGCTGTGAAGAAGCAGGGAGCATTACCAAGTGCTCTCTGCATAAGAACAGATAGTACATTTAGAAACAATGATTGGGATGACATTTTAACTTTTCTTTCATTGAATCATAGAATACCAGGTTGGAAGGGACCACAGGGATCATCTAGTCCAACCTCTCAAGGTAAAAGTACAGTTTAAATGAGATAGGCAGGCACCCTGTCAAGCTGACTTAAAATTGACCAGTGTAGGGGAATTTACCACTTCCCCGGGGAGATTGTTCCAATGTCTGATTGATCTCATGGTAAAAAAGTTTCTTCTGGAGTTCAATCAGAATCTCTCCAGAAGCAATTTGTGTCTATTACCCCTTGTTTTTTCTATGTGACTCTTTATGAAAAGGGAGTCTCCATCTTCTTGGCAGCCACCCTTTATGTACTGGTCATGTTCTTTGTCATGTTTGTTTACGATAAGAAGACATGGTATGTTTCCCCTTGAATATGATTTTTTCTTTCTTTCAAATGACTAAAAAGACAACTCAAACTGGCTCAGGAAAAACATTTATATTTTCTCAAACCCTAATAAATATTGGGATTCCTGCAACCTAATTTAAGTTTTCTCAAAATCAGGCTAGGTTGAGTGAATATCACTCTTTATCAGAGACCAGTCCATTGTCCATTCAGATAAATTCCAGAGGAAAGAATGTAAAAACACACTATCTTTGCAAATGTATCAAATTATACAATTTTTATTGAAACACACATTTTTCTTTGGTACATCCATCTACTGTAACTGGGGCTTAGCCATACTTAAATCTGAACTCTACTAGGATGTAGGGGTTCACATAGATCACCTTGCAATACTGGGACGACATCCTGTAGGAAGCTGGATAGGCAAAATACGAAACAAGATGGTTTACTCCTGGAGGACTTAGTGCACTTAATTTTTTACCTCTGATTCCACCTCAGTTCTTTCACACTTTTGTCAAAAGAAACCCAAACCAAAACAAAGCAAAATGAAAAGCCTCTTGGTTCTTGGCTGCAGCATAAAAAGTATGCCATACAACAATTGATAGACTAGTCACAAAGTCTTTTTAACACAAAGACTGATTAGCAATGTGTCATATGTGTATATGTGAGCAATGTGAAATGCTACCTACCCACTTACAGTCACTTTATTGTGTTATTTCCACAAATACAAATAGTTTTTTATCAGCCACCTGGTCCTTTTCTGTGTCAGGCTCTCTTTGTCTCATCAGAAGCTTGTTATTTGTGGGTGAAGAAACACTGAATATATTCCATAACCCCATTCTTTTATCAATAATTTCCTGTTATCATTACTCAATTATTTGAATTTTGTGAAAATGGCCACAAAGGATCAATTCAATTAAACCAAAACTACAAAGGGAAAATCTCACTGCAAGCCACTGTGCAACTGGTGAATCAGTAATTATATATAGCCACCTATTGTGCTAGCATAATAACATGTGAAGAAGGTTTAGTTAGACACATTTACACACATAAAAAGCAATATACGCATAGAAAAAGTCATTTTTGCCAAATGTATAGAACAGTCACACAGTAACAAAGGAGAACTGCATGAATCCTAGTTTACTTGGCTATAAATAAATCCAACATTTTCTTTCTCTCCATGGTAAAATAAAATAGGAGCACAGAAGCGTAACAGTCTCCTTTGAGCAACCAGTCTCTTTCTGTTCAATTATAGTCATCAATCTGTTCCACCTAAAATATTTTCCTTCTTGAGAAACCAAAGAAATCAGTATTAGGATCCAAAACATGCTGTTGCAAAAATAATGTAAAATAGGTCTTTCCTTTTGGTGAATGCATTTGTTCTGAAAGACTGAGTTTTCCTTAACATGAATTTCATAATGCGGGTGACAAAAAATACTACATTTATATAGCACTTTTAATCAGAAAATCTTGAAGAGCTTGATAAGGAAAGGTAAGGGTTACCTTCATTTTATAGAGGAAACTGCAGCAAAGAGAGCTTAAAGCCCTTTTTTTTTTTCCCAAAATCAGTTTCCTGTGTAGATTCCCTTTAGATGCCCAACTGGAAGCCTCTAAATCCTGATATTTAGAAGTGTTAAACAGACAAAGCTCCAGTTGTGTGAGTACCCTTTCTCTCAACAGTGACAGTGTCAGATTCTGTACCACTGGGAAATGCTCACCTGTGCATAAACGCACAGTAAACTGGAGAGCGGAGAATGAGCAGAGTCAGATCTCCTGCTTCCTGCTGCATTCTCTTACAAAATTTTTCTAGGAGGGTGAAGGTTCTTCTATTACTTGAAATCACTAGGTAAAGTCTAGATGTTGTCTCAAATATAAATATAAATATAAATATAAACATAAACATAAACATAAACACAAACATAAATATATTCAAGCTATAGTTTCACTAACATCTCTGGGCTTGATGTGAGGACTGCTTCATAAAATCATATAGCTTGTGTTACTTATAAGATAACACAGGTTTACCATGTTTCTTTAGGCCAGAAAAACTCTATAAATCTACGACTATGAGGATACATGAGAATTAACTATAATGAATTATCCGGGGATAACACAACAAAATTCTGATTAAGGCTTTTTCATCTTCCTGAGATGTGATACTAGCCACCAAATTGCACTGTCTCTTCCTTTACCCTGTGTGCCACTGAAACATCAAAGCATATAAAGTAAAGCCAATTTGATTTAGCTAAATGGGAAAAAGTCCAAATCCTCTTCTTCATGTGGTAGTTCTGTACGGACATCTACAGAGAGCAGAACACTGTCCACCTGTGTATGTTTGAAGAATTATAGAGAATTATTTTAAAGATGAAAAATCAAGGTGCCAAAATAATACAATCTGTGTTGCAAAAATAGTTTCAGAGTAAGCTCTCTGTGCTGAAAATCTCATCTCAAACTCCAAGAACTGAACAAGCACAGAGACCAATCCTTTCAGTCACAGGGATTGTTTCAAAATAATATAAAATGTGCATCTGGTATTCAGGAAAGCACTATGGGGAAATTAAATATCCCATAAATATTCCAGCCGAACTTTAACAACTGTATAAACCATCCTAGGTTTGGGGGGAGGGAGGGATAGTTTTGAAGTAAATGTCTTGTCCTCTTTTTTTTTTCTTTTTTTGAGATGACCATCTTTAAAGTGCAAAATAACTGCAGTTTTTCCTATTTGTTCATTGCCCCTGTACAGTGAGTTTGTCCTTAGTTCAAAGCATTACTGTAGGGGATAATTTCTTCTGCCCTAAAAGAGAATAGCTTGATCATAGTCATTAAAATTTCCTCCAAGATCTAAGTATGAAGTATCCTTTAAAACACTGGTTAGTTGTTCTTACAGCAAGCATCAGTTATTCACTTCATATTTTCTTTTAAGGCATTTTTTCAGAAGCCAGATCTTGCAATTAATGTTCAGTTTCAGATCTTTAGTTCAATGTATAAAAGGTTAGTTTTACTATCTTCTTTCCCACAGTGCACTATTGTAAATTCAGAGGCCTATAATTTTTATCAACAAGCAACTCATCATTTCAGAAACCTAAATCAGAGAATTCTTTTTTTTCACTCAGCATGCAGACAACTAAAGCCCTTTTTTCCCCTGGGGTGATATGCTAGTTTGATTTTATTTTCCCTGACATTTCACCTGTCAGATTATGATAAGTAGAAGAAACAAAGAATAATCATCACATTCTCACTGAATATCATAATCAAATATCTGGAAATACAAGATAAATTAGAAACATAATCCTGAGGGAAAACATTAACACTGAAAACACCTTCAGATATTCAAATCATGTTCCAGTGACCTAGGACTCCCATACAGGTTTAAAAAATTCAGAAAGAAAGCCTGGATAGGACTGTCACATCTACTTTTTTATCTTCAAATGCTAAGGAATGACCTACAGTGAGGTAAGAAGAAAAAAAAAAGTTTCAGAGTTAAGCATATCTATTTAATAATAAAGCCATGTCTTTTTCATAGTCTTTCACAAATGCTTTCTGAAAGCAATCCTGAGGCCAAGAAACAGGACAGGTTATCATGAAATAGTATAAGCTCAAATTAACTAGTTAGCAAGGTGAAAAGATTAATGAGCCAGAACACACCAAACATGTTCCTGATTTACTGCATCTGTAGTTTGCATGTTCCCAATTTCTCTCAGTCTCACAGCCATGAGATTCATAAGTGATGAAAACTTACCTGCTTGACCGGTGGTAATACTGACAGCTGCAAAAAGCCTCTGGGAACGGCTCAAGTCAGAAACCCCATTCACAGCTTCAACTTCAAACGTGTAGTTAGCATGAGCTAGCAGGTCCATGACAGTGACATAGTTATCTACTAATCCAGTTTGCTGGGGCATATATCCAATGTTACTCCCACAGGGAACACATTCACCCTGCTCCCAGCTGCACCTCTTGCACAAAACACGGTAGGTCACATCATTTCTTCCCCCATTGTCAGCAGGAGGACTCCACTCCAAACTCACGGTAGTCTGGTTGATATTGAAAATGAGGTTCTGTGGTGCAGATGGAGGTCCTATGTAACACACGAAAAAGTCCAGGGTAATTGTACAGAACCAGTGTAGGACATGTAGGACATTTTAATTACTGAGACAGAAAAGAGTTGAAGCATTTTTCCTCACATAAACATTTCATTATTTTTAGTACAAGCTGCATAAAAGCTTCCTTGAACTCACTTGGCAAGAGCTTTATTTATTTTCCATTAAGGCACCAGAATAATAACTGTCTGTATATTTACTGCAACTGACTTTAACTGTTTCTCTCTTCTGTGCAATTAAAAGGATTGGTTAATGTACCTTAAAGGTTGTCTTTTACAGTTTTCCCAAGTATGGGATTTGTTCGTTTCTTCTAAACATACTGCACAAATTGCATCTAGTCCTTTATTATCAGATCTGATAAGATTTACAGAGATATTTGGTTCTGCTTTGGATTTAGGAGACTCCCACTATTTGAACCACCAGCCTGTGTAGGCTAGTCCATTTGTGGTTAGAAGGTTAAGCCAGATCCAATTACGGCTCAATCAAAGCTCAGATCCACACAGGCTACTTTCCATTTATCATGTTACTCATTTTGGCATTATATCACATAAAGCACATTGTCTACAAGAATTTTACTGCCATGGAAAAACCATGTCTGTATTTTGTCTATTGCAATGAGTTACATGCTTACACAACATACAGTGTTTTCCAGTGTTATGTCAAGCAAACATGAAAATCATATTTATGCTGATTCTATATTCACTGTCAACTTTTTTTCCTTCTGCCTTTCAATTTCATTTACTGTTGTAAATGTACTTTTCAAGTATAGGAGAAGCCAAACGAATCTACTAGCTACAAGTGGCTTCACCTGGTTGGTTAAGCACTGTCCTTTACTATTAAATTCATGACTGACTCACTTGTGCATGCGACATATGGTGGATCAGAAGGTGCTCTATAATAGCTATCTTCACAATCGCATCTTGAAGATCCTTCCTTGTCAGAGAAGCTGTGAGTAGGGCAGCGGGAGCACTGCAGATCTTGTGAGGAGGATTTGTAGAACCCACGGCCACAAGCTAAGGCAGAACAAAACAAATTAAGGCTTAGATTTGCATGGACTACTATTCTGATCTTTTTTTGTCTCTGTCACATGAAGTACACATTCCTGTAAATGTTTAAACTACCCATTCTGTTATGTTGGCACAAGCAAGGCATTATAATCACAATTTCTTTTTCTTCAGTTGACGCTGTTAATGATTTTGTGACATTTTTACGAGTTTAAGCATACACTACAAATACCTCAGCAGCTGGCAGCATAATATTTTAACACAGAGGGACACAGAAATATAGCAAGCATCTGTTTTTCACCAAAGAAGAGTACAATAATGGTATGAAACAGCTGGATGCCTGCAATACACCTAAACAAGGGAAAAACAGTATTGAGAAGCTCTGCTCCAAGGCCACTGAAGTGTTTCTGGTATCTGAACCAGTTGATTTGGAATCAATGGAGCAAAGGTTACTCTTTGGAGGAAGCCAAAGAAGCTGTAACCCACCAGTGAACCCTGATCCCAAGCAAAGAATGAGGCATGAATACTTGTTGGACAGATGATGCTGGTACGAACAAGCAGAAAGAGGAAGAGCTCTGTAAGCGTAAGCTGCGTAAGCTGCATAATTGGGTTTTTTTCAGTTTTACAGAGAGGGACATCTAGGCTGAAATGAATTTGCCAAAACTTTCAAGGGAAAGTTAAAAGGTAGATAATTGGAAATACTTGTATAAGATAAGTTCATACTTTGGTTTGCCCTCTGTGAACCCATGGAAGTAAAAAATGTGTTGTGTTCCAAAACTGATGTTTAGAAATACTTCTTTCAGCTATTGCCACAGTTCCCAAAGCAGAAACACCCATAAAACACACCTATAGATGACACTTACAAGCAGAGAACCACAACCTAGACAGCCAACTTAAGAATGGATAAACTATGAGATCTGTAGGGGATGAAGAAGAGAGAAGTGGGGATCAGACAACACTAAAACTGAAAACAGATTAAGACTCCATTTTAGCACTGAGGTTATGGACAAACTTACACTGTCAACATGAAAAACAGAACACAAAAGTCCTTCAGAACTTTGTAATAAAGCAGAAGCTTTTTCAACCACACTATTTTATTCTTTTTTTTCAATGCTAGCAGTCTAACCTTCTTAAGTCGTCACCTGTATGCAAAGAAAAGGGACAGTGGGTGAAACTTACTGCTGGGTATCAAAATATTAAAGCTAGTTAAATAGTCATTCTGAATTCAGAGGGAGAGAATTTACTTTGGTTATATTCATATTTGCTTGAATATTTTCTCAGAACAGAAATGCAAAGTATCCAAAGACACTGATATTTGGAACAGTTATTTCAGTTATCTGGTACTGCAGTGATGCAAAGAGCATGAAAACAATGAGCTTTATCCAAATCTCACTGAAGTCAATGAGCGTCTCTGACTTCAGTAGCCTTTGGACTGGGCTACAGTGTAGCTGCAGTGACATGACTCTTACTAATTTGATGAATTTTATACAACTGAGAGAAAAAGATTGTTGCAATATTTAAGATAACAGTAGACTAAAGTTAACAAATTAGGTAAACCAACAGTGGATCATATCAGTATAAAATTATAGGAAATTCTGGGCCTCTATTACTTCCTATCAATATAATAACTTTCTAAAGAAAAATATGCCTAAAGGACGGAAATCGCTGTAACATTTAGCTTGTGAAGTTGAAAAAAAAGCAGTGGATGGAAGCTAAACTACTCGGTACAGAAAATTCACATGCAAAGTATGTATCCTTTAACTTTGACAAAGGCGCACGAGTTTGCATTAGAAGAAAATCTAGCCCCGCTTGTAAAACACGCTATAGTTTGATTCTACCACGGTAGCTGTTACGTATGCTATTTAGAAAAGAAGACAGAAAGATTTTTTAAGAAGCACTTTGGATAAACATGATCCCTGAACTCATAGTCATGGAAAATTTAACTTAGACTTATCTTTTTATACTTTCATTCAAGATTGTTTCAGAATTTCCTGATCAAAGACAAAGACCACAAAAGCTGAACTGATTTGTATGCATGTACCTTAAGACATATATTTAAACTTCTGTCTGCTCTTTCAGTACTTGCAATTGAAATGTAGCTAAAATTACCAAATAATAGTTTTCTGCCTTTCTTAAATAGTCATGTTCCTCTCACACTGAGCATAACACTGGACAAATACACCAGGTCTTCCAGCACGCAGCCCTCTGAAAAGCAAAGAGCAACTTAAAAGGCAAAGATCCCTACTGTGTTTCCAGTCTGTCCTTCTCAGCAGGGAACATTACAAAGCAAAGATGCAGAGGGTAAAATAGAGATTTCAGACAGAAATAACAAAACGTAAACAGAAGACCCCTTTTCATTTTTTTTGTGAAGACTTGATCAAGACATTTATATGCGTAGTCACTTACTATTTAAAGTAAGTGTGCATTTCTTATTAGAGTTCAAAGGATCTGAATGTCTGTGACTAGTTTACATGACTGAAAGCCATTTATTCTCCCGCACAGCATACTACAGGCAGCAGGTTCAGGCACTTGTACTATGCTACCATTCCATTAGCTTTTTTTCCAATAAAAGGCTGGTGACAACATTTAATAACCATCCCTTCAACTTATACACAGCATAAATAGAGGCAGATTATTCCAGCACTGGCATTGTTAAAAGTATGAAAACAGTGTTTTTAAAAAGGAATCTTTAAAACTTTATAGTTCTATAGAAAGGAGGGTATGCAAGGGTAAACATCATAATTGAAAGTACTCATTGGAGGAATGCAACTAAATTATTTTGCCGTTTTTCTTCATAAATTTAGATTTGTCACTTTCTTTTTTCAGCCTAGCAGTGGAATACTTCTGTTACTCAAAAATTGGGGAGCTATGAATCTTTATCTGTTTTCAATGAATTATTACAAATCATGGATGAGAAAGAATTGTTCAGAAATACTTTTTTTTTACTCTTTTTTCCCCTCTCTTTTTTCCTATCTTGCCAAATTGTCATAGTGATATTTTTATATTACAAGAAATTTAAATACATTGTTTTGTTCTACATTATTATTTTGAATCAACCTATTTAGTTCTTTATGTAATATTTTTAAGATCACAGGAACAGGTGGCATAAAGTCCCCACTGCCACTATCTCCATAACACACATTAAAAAAATTGTGAAAAGAAAAACACATCAGCCAAACATTACTCAAAGCTCTGTACATGCAAATCTAAAGGTGACAAACACAGATACTATTCCACAAATGTATCTTATGGCAAAGCCTGAGGGAACTCAAATTGCATTTGATCACATTCATTTTAATATCTCAATTCATTAATGCAGGAGAGCACTCAGCAGCAGCATTTCTTCCCTATAAAGGGAGCCTATATTGTAAATCAAGGTACGGAACTCAAGCACTGATGGGAGATATGAAGGAGGGTATAACAGCACTCTGAGGTTGTAGGCATAATCCTCATTATTTCTGAGCAAAATGTGAACTCATTTGATCTTCCTCAAGCAAGTTAAGATGCAGGAGTAGTTCTGGGGTACTGGAAGAGACAGGGGCGGGAAAGGGAAGAAAGTCAGCACTAAAGAAATTTACTCCCATTCACTGTGGTGTGTCATTTACAGCTGCTAATTTAATAGAACAGCTCTTCCTAGATGAAGCTCCCACTTCGTTCAAACAGCTGCTCCAGTCATATACATTCCAGGACAGGGTTTCAAACCAAAAGCAGTCAGCTTTACTGACAGCACAAAGATGCAGGATAATACCTACCAGTCAAACATAAACCAGTCTTCAAATAGCACAAAAATTGCTAAAGTTGCTAATTCTTTCCCCATATACTACAAAATCAACAATAAATACATAAGCAAGCTATGATTCAGCCAAGGTTTTGCTTCAAAAATTTTTTGGCTTAAAATCTTAGCCTCACAATCATTAGGGACTGACCACCAGTGATTCCCCCAGGGCTGCCTAGCACCTTGGATTTGTTTAGTTGTCTGCAATAGCCACGGCTGTTCCTCAGAGCAAATCTTCCCACCACTGCAAAGCAAAGAGGTTTCTCTTGTTGGGAAGCTGGCAGAGTTCCACTGTGAAATAAAAAACCAATGCGAACAGCCTATGGATGAGCGAGCCTCCTTATGCTGTGGAGCTGCGGTTTGAAACTGAGCAGGGCATTGTCACAGCATACTACCTTGCCTGGAAGCCCTGGATGAGCTGGTACTCTATTCTGTCTGTATACCACAAAAGAGCTGGGTGAAGATGACACTAGCAGTCCCTCCTGGCTTACACTAAATTGCTTTCTTCTTGTACATCCAGTAGCACTCAGCCGTAACAAGGACATATCGTGACAATAGGGTCTGGTACACAGCTGGCCAAGGTTGTGGCGTCAGTGCACGGTACTTGCTCAAATACATGTTTAGCATATGCCACTGCAATCACTGCAGCCACAAATGCTTTGAGCCAATGTGTTTTGTATCATTTAAGGGCCTAGACAAATACTGTAAATAATGGAATACTGCAAAGCCATAAGCAAACATTGAGGAATTAACACATAATAATGAGAACTATGATGCCACATCTATGGCACAACAAGGCATTAGCTGTCGTAACTAGAGATGCTGACTGCAGCCTATGTAGAAAAATAGCAGCTTCTTTGCTATGAGCTCATCACATGCCTTAACGGCCTGGTAGATATCAAATAATGTATATTTTGCTTTTCATATTTATAAAAAAATTCCAATAAACTCTGGAAAGGGGAATGAAAGCAGATGTGGAGAACAACAAACAGCAGTCTGAAGTCCCACTTGTGGGACAGGAAAAACTGACATGTTAAATACTGTTAATTTTTATGCAACTTTTTCACTATAAACACTATGAAGATTCATTTTGCTTCTAGGAGACCTAGGGAACTTAAATTGGGAAGGATGATAGATATACGGTGAGGGCTATGACTGACATGCACGACAACTAATGTTTACATAACCAAAGGAGAAAGAGTAAACAGTTTTAAGTTGGTGACACGTTAATCAA